CTATTTACTTAAAAGAGAGAGAGAGAGAGAGAGAGAGAGAGAGAGAGAGAGAGAGAGATGCTGTTCATTCAGAGGAAATAGTGTATGGCTTTAAAGGATTTCTTTTTTACATAGCAGATCTTAGAGGTCTGAGACAGATGAAAGGGCAACTTCTGCTCATGTCGTTATTGGGTTCTTTCTATTATGTTACTCCAGCGTACCTCGGGGGCTTCTCATTGAATGATTACAGTATGTTGCTTTGTTTTTCAGCTAGTGGAAAGAGGAAATAAGAGGCAATGTTTCAAGGCCTAAACTCAGAAGTTGCACATGACACTTTGGGTGTAATTCTTTTGATGAGAAAGAACTAAATCACAAAACCAATCGCAATTACAAGGTGCTGGGTCCTTGGGATGTACCCAGAAAAAAAGACAAAAAGTATTTCTGTGAAAGATTAACAGAATCCCATTAAGAGATAGTTATTTGCACAAAAAATATTTTTAGTTATGAAATTCTGGGTTTTCAAATGGTCGCTTTAGTTATCTTTAAATGCCTTTTTAAAGGTAGGATTTTAAATTAAAATTTAACATATATTGATAAATCACGAGCGTAGTTCAATACATCTTTACTAAGTGAACATACAGATGTAACTTCTACTAGACTGACATAGAGCAAGAGCAGTATCAACATCCGAGAGGCCTCCTTTATGTTTCTTCCTCCTAATTCCACTATCTCACCCCACCGCCACCAAAGAACTCTATTCGGAGTTCCGGCAGCAGATTATACTAGAGTATTTATTTATTTTGTAGTACTGTGGAATTGAATCCAGGGGTGCTTTTCCACTGAGCTACATACTCAGCCCTTCTATATTCTAATTTGGGGCAGGCTACCCCAAATTGTCCAGGATAGTTTACAGCTTTCAAACCTTCCTACGGGTGTGAGTTTGCTCAGTTTTGAACCTTATATAAATGAAAGTATGTCTTGTTTTCAGGTATTTGTTGTTTATTTTTATAGTGCTGGGAATTGAATCTGAAGCCTTATGCATGGTATGTGTGTATGTAAGTATGTGCTTACCACTGACCTACGTCACCATTTTTTTTCTTTTTGAGACAAGGTCTTCCAAAATTGCCTAAGTTGTACCAGATGTAGTGATGGCTGATTGTGTCACTTTGAGTAAGAGAAGATCAACTAAATTGGCTCAGTAATTCCACACCCTAGGGGACACCCGCTTGGCCAGCCAGATCAGCTGGCAATCGATGGGGTGACAGATACTGCAGACAGATCGCCCTCACATTCTTCTCTACAGTAATTTTGTTATTGTTGTTTGATTGTTTTTGAGACAGGGTCTCACTATGTAGTTGAGACTGAACTGGAACTCACTGTGTAGCCCAGGCTGGTCTTGAACTCGTAGCGATCCTCCTCCTGTCTCAGCCTCTCGAGTGCTGGGATTACAGGAGTGCGCCACCACGGCTGGCTTCTCTCCAGCAATTTAAAACGCTCAACCCCAGCCTCTCTCACTAGGAAACTCCGAAGCCCAGAATACACCGGGGTGCGTAAACGACGTGACCCCGCTCCGATGCCACGCGATGCCCTCTGGGACGTGTAGTGCGTGTGTTCGACCTGCACGCTGCCCTCGCCGGGGGAAGGTGCTGTCTGTCGAGGAGTCTCAACTCCCTGGGACGTGAGGAGTGAGCGACAGAACCATGCCTGTATCGTCCCTTGCTGGGCACCAGGAATAACCCTGACTTCGAAGCCTTCGAAACCCACCTACTCTGGGATCCTGCGGAGAAGCTGGCGGACACTGAGGAAAGAGCTTGCCGGCAAGTCAGGGCCGGGCAGAGGCGGCGGTTTTTCTTTTCCCTCTTAGCATGTTTGCGATCCAGTATCTAGAGTTCGGCTGAGAAAGGGAGACACCTTTTGAGTAGTGGGTTCTCTGAAACGCAGGGGACTGGGGTAGAGCTGATCCCAGTCGGTAGGGATCGTAGAGACCTCATTTATCCGGTTCCGGCTCGGGGTTTGTGTCCCTTGCGAACCGCGCCCGTCGTGTACGTATCGTGTACCTTGCTTGTTCACAGCTCTTGTCGGGATCCCACGGTCCTTAAGGCTCCTTCTTTAGTTAAGTGATTTCCTCAAGGTCGTGCAGCTTGGGCAAAATGAGGGGACACCTCTTTTATTTTGTAGCCTTCACTTTCACTTGTGGATGGGTACTGTCTTGAAGATCATTACTTTGCTTCGTGCAGGAGTTTTTATGTAGGCTTGGGACAGGATGTTGTACTCATTACCACAAAATAGGCAGTACAGTCACATGGTTTTTTCTTGTGAATACTTGGCTTGGCCCAGCTGCTGAGAGGGATCTGAGGTATATTTTTAATGATATAATAAGGAGTAAGTGGAGAGAAATCTTTTTTAGTACTAGAGTGCCTAAAAAGTTTTTTTTGTTCTCAAACTTAAAGTTTTTCTAATTTGTAAAATGGAAACACTATGTACCTGGAAGTTTGAGGGAATTTAATCAGATAATGTGTTTTAGAACAGCCCGAATACCCATCAACCGATGAATGGATAAAGATGTGGTATTTTTATACAGTGGGGCACTACTCTGCCGTAAAAAGGATGAGCTTCAGACATTTATAGATAAATGGATGGACCTTGAGACCACACAGTTAAGTGAAATGAATGGGACACACGTTTAAATACTGCATTGCTTCTCTGGTGTGAGAAACCAAAAGTGGGAATAAGGACTAAAATTTATAATAGATATTGGGAAATGGGAAAAAAATGTTCATATGGAAATTGGAACAAGGGAGGAGGGAGGGAAAAAGGAAGGAAAGGACATGAAAAAAAGGGAAAACAAGAAAAAATGGAAACAAAGCTTTTGTACATAGGGAAGGGAGGTTTTACTGATGGGTGGGGTAGGATTACAAACAGGCTGGGTGGGGTAGCCTATGACTCCAGCACTCAGGAAGCTGAGGCAGGACGATTGCTTCAAATTTGAGGCCAGCCTGGATCCCCTGAGGAAACCTTATCTCAAATTTGAATTAATGGCTATTCGTTAGAAATTTAAACGTGATACCTTTATCTCAAACAGTTTTACTTAAAAGGGCAACTCTTAGGGCTTGAGGGTAGCACACTTACATAGTATGTGCAAGGCTCTGGATTCATTCATTCCCAGCACCACAAAATGGGTGGATGAGGAAGATGGCTCTAAATTTAGGAATTTTTTTCTTTTTATGGTCAAATTTGAAAACTTTAAAGTGAGACTTAAACATTTTTTAAAAATGAAATCCAGAAAGAGCCTGTTTGTTGTTTTTAGTTTTGTATCAAATCCTGCTATCTTATTAAGGTTGAGCAAAGTCTGTTAATGTAGGAAATACTTGTTACTTTTAATTTAAATTTTGGGATTAATTTGCTATTAATGAGGTACAAATAACCATGCTAAGCCATTTTTTTTTTTTAACAGAAATTGCCCATTGGAATGTTAGAGTCATCATAAGGGAAACAAAATCATGAAGTTATTTTTATGCCGGCACATTGCACGTAACTCCTAGTTGCAGATGGCTTTCTTTACCTAGAGGGCTGGGGATTTAGCTCAGTGCTGCTGCCGGCCTCACGAGCACAAGGACCTGTAGCAAACAAAACAACAACAACAACAAAACGAAGGATACTAGACTCAATGGCTCTAAATATGTTTCGTCTGAGAGCTACTTGTCCATTCCTCTGGAAAGTGTTTCAGTCTCGACCCTTCAGTTATGAACCACTAATTGTTCAGATGAGTAAGTGTATGGATAAAGAGGAAATATTTGATCTCATTGAAAGAAACAAAGCCACACTTTCGGAAAAGCAAGTGGGACATGCATTTAATGTACTTTGGCGGCTTCAAAGACAGAAGACAAGCTCCATAAAAAATGTTGAATATGTCAGAGACCACCCCCAGTTTCCTACTCTGTATAATTTAACTACAAATAAAATCGAATCAATGAGTGATGATACCCTAGTGGATGTGTTATACATTGCCCAGCGGTAAGTTATTTGTAAATTTCATGGAAATGATTGTAGTTTATTTTTAATTTCCTAAAAATATCCTTAAAATGAAAACTTTTCTTTTCACTTTTCTTACAGTAGTGGGGATTGAATCCAGGTCCCCACACAGGCTAGACAAGTGCTTTATAGATACTGAGTTACATCCTCAACCCTTTTTCTTTTGAGACAGGGTCTCACTAAGTTGCCCAGGTTTGCCTTAAGTTTGTGATCCTTCTGCCTCAGTTTACTGATTAGCTGGACTAATAGTCCTGTACCACCAGGCAGGGCTGAAAATGTGTTTTTTTTTTCTTCTGGAAGATAGTTTTGCCAGGTGTGGTGGCGCATGTCTGCAATCCCAGCACTCAGGAGGCTGAGGCAGGAGGATCACCATGAGTTCGGGGCCAGCCTGAACTGCGTAGTGAGACCATCAAAAAAAAAAAAAAAAGATATTTGGAAGATAGTCTTTGGAGACTGATAGCCTTACACTTTAAAAAAATTAGAGTATAATTAATCATGAAAGTAGAAATAGTTGACTTTGGGTATATAAAACTGGGTAACTGTAGAATTTTATAGAAATATGGTTGGTTAAAGATAATGAGATAGATAATAAAACTTCAGATTAATGCCTGATAAACAGGTAGTAAATTGTATCTTTGTTGGTGTGTTTGTAATTTCTTGGTTCTCATAATTAAATGGTGGTAGATATATATATTTTAGGGGCTATTGGTACAATAAGTTTCTTCCCACTAATGGGGAGGGGAGGGAGAGAAGGAGAACAGGAAATATCTATTAGTCATCATGGTGGTACAACCTGTAATCTGGCACTTGGGAGGCTGAGACAAGGAGATTGCAGATTTGAGCCTAGCCTGGGCAATTTCACAAGACCCTGTTTCAAAATTAAAAATAAAAAAGATCTTGGAACGTAGCTCAGTGTGAAGGCTCCAGATTCAATCCTCAGCACCCCCGCTTCTGCTTGTAGACTCATTTATATTTGATAATTGTTTTGCAAATTGTATTCCACGGCTTGTTGACAGTGTTACTTGCAAAACGAAGTTTTTACTTGCTATTAGAGAAAACTTAAGAGATAAAGTTAAGCATTAAGAAATTTTACATTGGTTGCAAAGAATAAAGCCTTTCAAGTAAATTGGACTCTCTGAAAATAAAGATTTCAGCAGGTGTACAAGGAAAATATTGCAGGCTGTGGTGGTGCATGCCTATAGTCCCAGCACTTGGGAGGCTGAGGCAGGAGGATTGCCCTGAATTTGAGGCCAGCCTGGACTACATAGTGAGTTTAAGGCTAGCCTGCGTTACATACCAAGACCCTATCTGAAAAAGAAAGGGTGGGGGAGGGGGAGGGAGGGAAGGAGGGAGGGAGGGAGAGGGACCCCAAGGAAAATATTAATCTCACTGATGGAAGAACAACAGTTCTCTAGTGACAACCCAACCTTCTGGGGTTATTTAAGTATCTGTAAATGTCAGTATTATACAAATCAGAGATCTATTTTTTTAAGGGGTGGGTGGAGAAGGATCAATATAGGAAAAGGACTTTAGGCCTTACTTCATTGGGGATTGATGTTAGACTAAAAAAGAGAATTTCTTTTTATTTGATTGTCCTTCTAAGATCACAGAGTTTATTCTTCAAGGTACATTAAGGGAATACTTGGTGGCGGCTATCAGCATTTTTTTTGTATTTTGTACACTTTCTCCTATAAAATATGCTTTTAACTAGAATAAAATGATTCATGTTATATATTCTTCTAGCATAAAATGTATTGTTGAACTTTTTTTTTTTTTTTTTTTGAGACAGAGTCTCACTATATAGTTCAGGCTGGCCTTAAACTTACTGTGGAGCCCAGGCTGCCTTAACACTTTCAGCCATCCTCCTGCCTCAGCCTCCTGAGTGCTGGGATTATAGGTATGTGCCAACATGCCCAATGAACATTTTCTTTGTTCAGTGGAAGGCATTTAAATGATCAGATAAAAGTATAAGAGAGCATGAGATAAAATATAGATATTAATTAGACTATATCAAGAAATCTACTGAAATTAGTAGAGCAGGGAGGACTGTACATATAAGAGGAAAATAAATTGAATTTCACTTTTTCATTATAACTTTTGTTATATGTGTTTTTAATGATTTTAAATGAGTGTGTATATAGAATTATTTTGTCTTGTTTTTATTGAGGTTTGGTGTTGCAGCCCATGATCCTCTAGTTGAATCACTGGTTACAGAAGCATGGAAAAGGTTGGACAGGTAAATATTCTGGGTTCATCATCTAAGATCAGGGTTACCCTTTTCAGGGTAAGGACTGTAAATCTTACAAGGAAAGATTGGGAGCTACTGCCTCTCTATTAAACTTCATTTAAAAAAGTATTTAAGCTCAGTTTATTTTGAGGGTTTTTGCTTGTGTAATGTATATTCTTTCATTCTCTTCTTTTTTGGGGGGTCACACTTGCGAGGCAGGTGGTGGAACCACTGAGCTAAATCCCTGGCCCTTTTCTTTTTTTCTTTTATTTTTTGTTATTTGAGACTGGATTTTGTACTGTATTTCAGGCTGGCCTCACTGTGTGGCCCAGGCTGACCTCAAACTTGCAGTAATCCTCCTGTCTCAGTGTCCGAAGTATTGGGATTATGGGTGTGCTACCACACCCCAGTTGTGTTTTTTTTTGTTTGTTTGTTTTTTTAGACAGGGTCTCACTATGTAGTTGAGACTGACCTGGAACTCACTATGTAGTCCAGTCTAGGCTGGTCTCGAACTCACAGTGATCCTCCTGCCTCAGCCTCCCGAGTGCTGGGATTACAGGCGTGCACCACCATGCCTGGCCTGTATATTCTTTCTTAAATAAAGGAAACTATTTCAAATGTTCCCTGACTCAGAAGAGGGAACAATGTACTTTTCCACATAAATGATCAAAATATAAATAGGGTAAAATATGTAACAACTATTCATGGCCTGGCTATTTTAAAACTCTTGTCTGGAAGAGTTTTGCCTCAGAAAGAACTTTGCTGATTGGCTGTGAGTTAAAACCTAGAAGTGCAGGGCCCATAAAAGAAGAAAAGAGGTTAATAGACTGAAAGGCCATGTAACACTTTTTATGGGCATCTGTAGCTGTTGGTGTCACTGTTTTCACGCAGTCAGTGACTAGAACTTATGAGTGATTTAGAAGGTTTTTCCAAGAGTATGGATTGGTATGGTGGCACACCCCTGTCATCCCAGCACTCGGGAAGCTAAGACAGGAGGATTGCCATGAGTTCGAGACCAGCCTAGGCTACATAGTGAGTTCAAAGCCAGCCAGAACTACACAGTGAGATCCTGTCTCAAAAACAGAACAGTACAGAACTAAAGAGAGTACGTTTCAGGTTCACTACTGTAAACAGTATCGATTCTGTACTATTTTCTTTCTTTTTTACAATAACAAAACACTTACTGATATATTTTAGGTGTACATAATGATGACACTCATCATAGGGAATTTGCTCCTGTACATAATACGTCCTGCCTCTTCTTTCCCACACCCTCCGTGCTCAAAATCCCTCTCCCTTCCTATGTGCAAAAGCTGTTTCCATTTTTCCCTTCTGTTTTCCCTTTTTCTTGTTCCTTCATTTCTCCCTCCCCTTCCCTTGCTCCCCTTCCCATTTGAACATTTTCCTTCCCATTTCCCAATATCTGTCATACATTTTAGTCCTTATTCCCACTTTTGGTTTCTCACACCAGAGGTATGTATGTATGTATTATGTATATATGTATGTATATATGTATGTATGTATGTATTTTTTGGTACTGGGGATCAAACTTGGGACCTTATGCTTTCGAGGCAGGCAGCAGAACCAATGAGCTAAATCCCCGGCCAACATTGGGGTATTTAATGTTGTGTGTCTGATTTATTTAACTTAAGAGTGTGGTCTCAAGGTCCATCCATTTATCTATAAATGTCTGAAGCTCATCCTTTTTTATGGCAGAGTAACTGAACTATTTGCTGCACAGAATTCTATAGTATTGTCTGTATTATACACAGTTATATTTTCAGCATGTTGCCATAATTGATAATCATCTAGAAAAAATGTTTGTATAATATATGTGCCACTTATATAACATGTAATATACCTTATTTAAGGTATTCTTCTGAGTATAAGAAAGTAGATTCTATAAGGTTTAGGGTATTCTTTAGGATATTCTTATGTTTATAGATTTAGGGTATTCTTATGAGAATAGGGAAGTACATTCTTTAAGACTATAGGAAGTTCTAGCTGAGATAATAATAGCTCATTTTAGAAAAGCTTCAGCTATTTTTGAAAACTTTGAATCATTTTTTAGCTAGGAATTTAGATGGCTAAGGGCCATTATTAGTGGAATGGGCAAATGGCAGTGAAGAAAAGGGAGGAGAAGAGAAAGGAGGGTTTAAAAAAAACCACAGAACAATTCTCCCTGTAAACCAAATGGAAACCTAGGTTAGAAAGGAAAGGACTGTCTATAAGAAACAACATAAAGGAGGAGAGGTTTGTTACGGCTTACGCTTGGAAGCTTTAGTCCTTGCAGGGCCAGCAGCATGGTGGAAGGGCCCAGCATGGAGGACAGCTGCTCGTGTCATGGCGATCAGGAAGCCAGACCCCACCTTCTGACATCATATCTAACTATAGTGCTCACAGAGTGCAGTCGCCTTCTAAAAACCCCACAGCGATAAGTGCATGAGGATTTGGGGGGCATCCAGATGTAAACCATAACAGGCTGGATTAAATCAGAGGGGTCAGAACAGTTCTCTAGGTTTAGAAATTCTGTGTCTATCTACTGAGTTACAATTTTAGTTTTATTATTTAAACCCACCTGTCTTCTCCACTCCATCCTTGCATGCTCTGTACCCAGAGTCACAGGCGTTTTATCTAGAGTGAGCATGTAATCTTTTTGTTTTTGTTTTTTCATTTTTGAGACAGGGTCTTGTTATATTGCCCAGCCTAGTCTAGAACTTATGGGCTCATTTTTCTACCTGTCTCAGCCTATCTAATAGCTAAAAGGAACTACAGCCATGTATCATGATGCAGACTTGAGTAACCTTAATTCCTTTTGCAAATAACAAGAACTATATACTGTACTTATTATATCTTTTGGGTTAAATTTAGTCATTGTTGGTAACAGGTCAAATCACTTCTTTCCACTCGAAGCAACACTAAGTGTTAGATAAACGATGTGGCATGAATAAATCAGTTGTAAGATAGATTATTTTGGTTTTAGAATTTTTGAAACAATTAAATTACAAATGCACAATTGGACTTCCCAGTGACCAGACTTTTCTTTTGCGATAGAGTCTCACTTTGTAGTTCAGGCCCTCAAACTTAATGGTGATCCTCCTGCCTCAGCCTCCTGATTGCTCGGATTATAGGCACCTGGCAGACGTTTCTTTTTTTCATTTCAAGATAGCTAAGAAGATAATAACTTTGTTCTATTTTTTTTACTTGTAGCATACACACACACACACACACACACACACACACACACACACATTATATAAGCTCTTAACCACACACCTCACATATAAACCATC